TATCAATCTACTGGGGTTTGGGGGTATTTTAAAAGCAGTTACTTCGTAAAAAGCTCTTTGTGCTATCTTTTTTTCAGATTTTGAGATCATATATAAACTGCAGCATCATTCGCAAAACAAAAAAGCTTCAGTAACTTATTCTTTTAGCAGGCATATAGATTTTTGTTACTTTGCATAATGGCAATGAAGAGGGATGAATTAATACAAATTAGATTCATTAAACCATAAAACAGAGCCCTCATTGGTGCAGCTGGTTAAACCGCTGAGCTACTGAACTTGCTGATCAAAAGGTCGGCGGTTCGAATTCAGGGAGATGGGTGAGCTCCCACTGTTAGCCCCAGCTTCTGTCAACCTAGCAGTTCGAAAACATGCAAATGTGAGTAGATCAATAGGTACCGCTTCTGTGGGAAGGTAATGGCACTCCATGCAGTCATGCTGGCCACATGACCTTGGAGGTGTCTACAGACAACGCCGGCTCTTTGGCTTAGAAATTGAGATGAGCATCACCCCCAGATTCAGACACAATTCGACTCGACTTAATGTCAAGGGGAAACCTTTAAGCCATAAAACATATGGTGGTGAATTTGATTTTAAAATGTAGTTAGTTGAAGTAAATTGGAAGTGTGATTCGTGCACTAGATAGGGATTAGGAGGTTCCAGGCTCAAGTTCTCCTCATGAAACTGAATGGATTACATTAGAACCCCCACTTACTCTTAGTTTGATCTATTTCACCAGTCTTTTGTGAGAATGAAGTGGAGATAAGAGCCGTATGTCCCACTTTGAGCTCATTGTTGGAAGGGATGGGTATAAACGTAAATGATACATAATTATTTTTCTACAAGAAAAAATCTTCCTCCCACAGAGTAATTTAAGGAGGATTTCACTGCATTAACAATTTCAGAAATGCCCATAATCTAAAATGGGATTTGAAATATTATAGTTGCAGTTAGGATATGACATGTGTGTATGTGCATGTGTATAATTATTAATTCAAACATCACTTGATTGGGTAAATGCTAATAGCTATAGGAATGGTTTCATGAGTTGAATATAGTGTTTAATTAATTACAAAGTTAAAGGTTTTTAAACCAACCAGTAGTATGAAGAACTTGGAAACAAGTGTGTTTCTTTGCATCTTGCGAGTGCCGCTGTGTTCTATGCCAGGGCTTAGTAATCTTTTCCCATTTGTGACCCCTTTTGGCCCAAAAGATTTTCCCTGGATATTTGTTTATTTACTATACTTATATACTACCTTTCTCAGCCTATTGACGATGTAAGTAAAAGGTAAAGGTTTTCCCCTGATATTAAGTCCAGTCGTATATAGGTATAAAAACCAGACATTTGCTGAAAATAAATCAGCATTTGCAAGGCTTGCTAGACAGGCTGATTTTTCTTTTAGCGAAGTACATTGTACCTTGTAGCTAACAGATTTGTACAAATGGGTAACGTTCAGAACATTTTACTGTTGCCAACATTCAGCTAAGGGGACCCCATTTGGGGTAGGAACTCATAATTTAAGAAGCAGTGGGTTCACTCCATTAGACATCCCATGGAGGCTTCTCATTTGTTTTTAAGAGAGAAACCACTGAGAGAGAAACCACTGTAAAAGAGGAACTACTGAACTTTAAGGTGTAACTGGGTGGTTGTGAATTTTCTGGGCTGTATGGCCAAGTTCCAGAAGCATTCTCTCATGACGTTCTCCTTCTGGAACATGGCCATACAGCCTGGAAAACTCACAACCCAGCAATTCTGGCCATGAAAGCCTTTAACAATACATTATAAGGTGAAACATTAAGCTCTCCATTTAATCCATATTCAGCTTAAGATGATGAGTGGTCATCCACAAAGAAACACTCAACAGGCACTCCATCATGGACTTTCACACAGAGGCATCAATTGATTTTAAACTCTGTAAAATCTGAGTGTCATCTGCAGAAATGTGATACTAAAAATTCCATTCTGCAATAAGTACTTCAAGAGGTATATAATGGGAAAAGAAACACACACACACACCATAAAGTAAGTGGAACAACAGAAGGTTTGTCAGGACTGGGCCTTCCAAGTTAGGAAAGTTAGGAGCTATGATATTATTTGTAAGGTAGGATCAATTGAAACTGCAACAAAAGGTTGCAGTATGGAGCTCTCTTAAGAACTCCTTGTCCTGCTTTTTTCCAGGTACTCCATCCCATTCCCATTTTCCATTCCCCACCCACACAAAAAATGTTAAGATGTAAATGTGTGTAGTACTCCCTGAGCTATGTTTAAATGAGAGCGAACTGTTTTCATTTTCCCTAAAGATATTTTCTATACTACGGTAATCTTTAAGATTTGGTAAGGCTGCTGATGTTCCCCCCTTGTGTGTGTTGTGGTGCAGTTGAGCTTGGAACAGTGTATACAATATTGTTCTTCCCCTGGCTAAGGAGAGGAGCCGTCTCTCTTTAGTTCTTCTTTAAGCATATAACTGGATTATGAGATCTTGATCTGAGCTAAGAACAGCCAAGAGGGGTTTTTTTAATGACTCTGCCTCAGTATCCCCACATGTTATAATTGGACAAGATCCTTTTTTCCATCCAACTTGGGATCTGCTGTATAAGTGTGAAGGTTCAGGGCAGAAATCTGGATCCCAGGTGCAGTGTAGTAAATAATAATAAAACTTTATTTATATCTGCTCTACCTCCCCTAGGGGACTCAGGGTGGTTTCCATGTAAGCAAAATATACAAAAAACATACAGTGTAAGCAAAACATAGGCATAAAATAAAACTTTCAACACACACATATACATTAGAAAACCAAATCCCACACTATCCTTTCATGCAAAATAAGCTGCCAGGGGGCAAAATTTCAAAATGGGCCTAGGCAGTTTAAAAGGGTTGGGGTAAAGCTAGTGCAAAGAGAAAAATGGGGGCCTGGAGAATGGGTAAAGTGGAATGACCAGGTCCCAACAATGGCCATAGTGGGGCCTGAGGCTACTCATTTCCAGAGTCAATTAGAGAACTGTAAAAGGACTGGGCCAGGGTAAGTACCCCAGGATGTTAGAGGTCCGGGGTAGTGGGTGGAGTGCAAGGCCAAGTCCTAACTAATGGCTGGGGGGTGGGACTTGTAACTAGTCAGTCTCAAAGGCCTGATGGAATCACCAAGTATTCAAGTTCTTACGAAAAGAGGAGAGTGATGGGGCCTATCTTATCTCCCTGGTGAGGGCGTTCCAGAGGCAGGGGGGCACCACCAAAAAGGCCCTCTTTCTCATCCCCACCAACCATGCTTGAGACGGTGGTGGGAGGGAAGTGGGGCCTCCCAGTGGATCTGTCAAAGTATTGTTTCAAACACATTTTCCTCTGCATCTAAACTGTCTGATGCAGAGGAAAACGTGTTTGAAACAATACTTTGACAGAACCACACTTCAATATGACACAAGGATAGAAACTGTAACCCAGCTCAGATGGCATGAATAACTACATCTCCACTTCTCCCTAACATTGGAAGGGACGATGCATATCTGTGGATAACCAGTGAACAGGTGGTTGGTCTTGTTGTGACTGTTGCTTTGAAAAATATTCACAATGATTCATTTACAGGTTGAAAAACAGGTTTCCCAACAGCTGGAAAGCCTTGTTTTGAGGAATAACAGACCAGCAAGTTTTTTGTGGGGGTTTTGCCAATTAGTCAATGTCCTGAAATGTTGTAGAGCAGTTATTGCATGGAGGAAAAGAACATTCGGTTTCTTTTTCACCAAAAGCATATTTCCTGCACAGAAATTGGATTTTCAGTTCAACCCTCCCACCATGTTTTCATATGCAGAAAACAGATTTTCTACAGAAAAATTCGTAGTTTTTCCCCCTCTACCCAGTAATCCCTCTACACCACTTCAGAACATTGAGGAAACTGTGAAAAAGTGTGTATTTTCTCTTGCAGAGAAGAGAACACTACAGTCATTATTTGTTCTTGCAAAGAATGAAAATGATAAACAGTTTAGTTCACAAGCACACCAGGTTCTCCTTTCACGGTAATGTGGTTGACTACAATGAACACACTTGCCAGTATATTATCTTGATGTTGTATGGAGCATTTTTCAAAAAATGCAGAGTAAAACCTAACACATGGAATCAACCATTGTTGGGCCGGGGGGGGGGGGGATTACCAATCTTTGATTTTCTCAATCTCAGAATCATTATGTGCTATGCCCTAGAGAACAATTACTCATCTGAATTAAAATGAACTCTTTATTGACAGGTTGATCTTGTAAGATGCTGTGAGAAAGTTTTATAGGGTTTAGTGTAAGTAGGTAGAGGGTCACAGGCTGTGTCATCTTCAGAAATGTAAATCTTTGTCGTTCAGGTCTTTCCTGCATGTTCTTACTATCTCCTTCAGACTACTTATTCATCTATTTCATTTGTGAGTCCTGTCTATACAATGATTGTAGAAATGGCAGGAGCCCCTGTTGGCCTGTAAATGTGTCACTATGACGTGTGATGGGCAAGATAATGCCTTTCTCCTATACCCACTTCATTTATCAAATGTCTTGAAGGAGGATAACCATGGTAATGAAGGTTATTAGGTGTTCTCTTTTTCCATCTTACTGTATTGCTCAGTAATAGAAGCATACTATTTTAAAACAAGTTTCAACATCAGTAAATCTGCCTATGCCCATGATTCATTACTTTGTGAATCACAAGCACATATACAAAATCTATTACTGTCTGGATACTTGACTCCCTAATATTGCAGTACACAACACCCCTTTTAAAAAGTGACAAGACAGTTTCCTAACTTGATATGCCTTGCAGGAGATAAGGATCACTCTCCCACCTGCCTCAACTTTCTGCTATCTAAGAAATACAATTCAATGCATAGATTGTCATTTCACACACACGTATGGATGGATGGATGGATGGATGGATGGATGGATGGATGGATGGATGGATGGAATAATGCCTTGTTTTATTGTGGGGAGAGCATTTGAGTTGGCCAGTCAGTTTCATAATATATTTTGTTCTTCCTCAGTCATGTGACACAAACGACGTCCTGGATCCACCCTGTCACCAGTGTCCTTTCCTTGTCATGTTCTGAAGAAAATGAAGACGATGGCTTCAGAGAACCCCTGGATCCCAAAAGCTGAGGAAAAATCCCAGGCTGCCATTGGATTTCAACTTGGTTGTCAAGAATCCCATGTCTTGTATTGCTGTATTAGCTCTGACTAATAGGAAGCTTGCTACTGAATAGCATTTGGGACTGAGCCCACAGGCTAAATAACTTCCCTCAGTCTGCATCCATAGACTTTCTCTGGCATAGGTCACATACTTGTCTTGGATAACCAGTGTGTTGAGTAACCAATATGCAACTAGTACTGCAAGTTCAGTTACATTTTTTATTTTAAAAAGAACCGTTTGAACAGGCATCTGATCTTAATGCCTTTTGGCCATTTGTATATCTTTGGCATCTTATCTGTTAAAACCAGTTCTCAATACCTTTTCATGTTCTAGAGAAACCTGCCCAAACCTGGTTGTCACCAAATGTTTTTAAAGTATGTCTCATCTCTGAGTTATAGTCCAAAATACCTGTAGAGAACCAGTTTATGGAACCTAATCCTTGACTGACCAGACAGAAACCCAGGCCAATGCTATGATGATAGGTAACTTATACACTCATGTATAAGTATAGGAGTTTTAATCAAAAATCAATCCAAAAACCTGCAGTCAACTTATCCATAGGTCAATGTGAGTAATGTACCTTAATTCTTATAAAAATCTCTTTTGATCAAAGGGCAAGAATTTCACCATACCTGGGGAACCTAAAAGAAGCACTGACATTATGGCACCATTTCTGGTCTTTGGGAATGCCTGGGCAGAGAAATAGTGTTAGCCAGGAATGGCTGCCCTCCTGAGGTAGCATAGGTGCTTTTTTCCTCTCTGTGGAATGACCCTCAACTTATCCACAGATCATACCAAAATCCATAGTTTGGGCCTCAAAACATGCCCTCTACCTATACATGAGATTGACTTGTATATGGGTATTCTTGAGTCTCAATAGCTAAATTGGAGCCACTGGGGTATAATCAGTTAAACCCTTGTGCCGGCAGAACTGCTGTTGTTCGAAGGTCAGTGGTTTGAATCTGCAAAGCAGGGTGAGCTCCTTTCTGTCATCTCCATCTTCCCATGCAGAGACATGAGAGAAGTCTCCCACAGGATGGTAAAACATCCGGGCATTCCCTGGGCAACATCCTTGCAGATGAACCAATCCTCTCACAACAGAAGTGACCTGCAGTTTCTCAAGTTGCTTCTGACACACACAAAAAATAGCTGAACTAACTATATTGCCAGAATACTGTCGTTGACATAGAGTCATAGACCTCCCATTACACAGTGTATGCACTTCTACATTTATTGTGGAAAGAGGTACACAGTACATCCTTGTGCAGCAATTCCTCCCATTAAAATTTCCATCTCCAGAGATAATCAGTGTGAGTATCCCTGAAGTCCTGACAGGCTACAGTGTGGCCTCTCTGAAATTGGATGATGTTTAGGAAAGCCCTGATTGGCTTTGGAAGCCCAAAGTATACCAGCAGCAGTATTGTTGGATCTTGGGCATTATCACTAGAAGTGGAGAACAAGTTGTGTTTTGTCTGTGTACACCTCTTTCTTCCATCTCAGCTGTTCTGGAGAAAACTATAGCATTATATTTATTGACCACACTACAGTTATGACCAAAGCCTGTCTGTCAGAAATAGAAAACCATCTTTCTGTGTATATTTTACCTGTTACCGTGATTCACATTTTGCCAGCAAAGAATATGAAGAGTCACTGGGTTAGACTCAGACTTATAGAAACCATTGAAATCTCTTCTGAGCAAAGTAGAGTCCTAAGGGCTTGTTTATATTATAAACTCATATTACTTTTATTATTGTGGTTTTCCCTTCTTCAGAGACCCAAGCAAACTTTAACTCTGTGTGATGCTTGCAGTCTTTCCCCCGTGAATTCTCAGTGCTCGCATACTGCAGTTCACAGAGTCTTTGGGGGGAGCCGTGGCCTGGTTTAAATCCGCAGGCTAAGATACAGTTCAGTTCAGGCAACAGTTGCTTATTGCTTTAATTTGAGAGTGTTTTTTGAGTAGCAATGCAGACGTTGCTTCCTTCCAGGCCCAAATCTTCATTTCATAATCTTCCTAACCAGTACACAAATTGAGTAATTAGGTCAACACTTCTATCATACTAATGGCCATAGTTACAATCTTTGTCTCCCTCTCCAACTATCACATAGCTTTTGAGCAACCTGGAGATATTTCTCTTCTCCCCCCCCCCCCCTATTAATTAATGACTTCTCAGAAGTAGGTCACTATGTTCACTGTGCTTCTTTATCCTAGCATCATCTGATCACATAAGCCACCGTCAGTTCACTATATTTTCTTTTACTGCCGTGTCGTGATGCCTGTTAGGTCCATATATATTAAAGCAGATTATGCACTCTTTAAAAATACAAGATGTTCCAGCCCATGGTTGCTGTCCTTTCTGCTTTTAAGTCCTTAAGTAAATTTCATTATGCAGAGTATTGTAAATAGAGAAATATAGAAATTAGCACTAATGCCTCTGGAGCTTGTAACAAATGTTAGATAATCAGGTTCTTTTAACATTTTTATAACAAAATAAATTACTCTAACTTTTAATGTGTTCGCTTTTCATTTCCCATCCTTGAGTCTTGTCTATGTATGTGTGTGTGTTACTAACTGCTCCCAATGGTGCATAGGGTTACAGCCTGTGCTGGACGGGGTCACACTCTCCCTGAAGTCACAGGTTTGCAGCTTGGGAGTGATCCCAGACTCATCGCTGAGCCTAGAACCCCAGGTCTTTTGCACAATTAAAACTTGTGCGCCAGTTACACCCGTACCTTGGGAAGTCAGACTTAGCCATGGTGGTCCACACTCTCGTTACATCCTGAATAGATTACTGCAACACACTCTATGTAGGGTTGCCTTTGAAGACTGCTCGGAAACCCCAAATAGTCCAACAGATGGCAGCCAGTTTGCTCACCGGAGCAGCATATAGAGAGCATACAACCCCTCTGCTACGCCAACTCCACTGGTTGCCAATCTGTTACTGAGCACAATTTAAAGTGCTGGCTTTACCCTATGAAGACCTGAATGGTTCTGGAGCATCCTTATTTGTCTGAATGTATCTCCTGTTATGAACCATCACGAAATCTAAGATAGATGGGAGAGGCCCTGCTCTCAATCTCACCATCTTCACAAACCTGACTAGTGGAACTAAGAGGCAGGGCCTTCCCAGTGGTGGTCCCTTGCCCGTGAAACTCTCTACCTGGTGACATTAGATTGGCCCCCTCACTCTTGTCCTGGTCATGGGACCAAGTGTTTGAACAGTAGGGGCAGCAATTTAGAATGAGACCCAATTTGTGTGAATGACAATGGACTGACCTGGACTATGATTTCAAACCTGTGTGATTCAAACAATGTTTTAGTAATTTTAAAGCATTACCTAATTGGTTTAATTGCTTTTATCATTTATTACTGTGGTTGGCATTGAATGAATGCCTGTTGTGAAGCCGCCCTGAGTTCCCCTCCAGGGGTGAGGGGGACAGGATACAAATATGTGAAATAAATAAGTCTTGTTTGTGGCACCATTTGTAGGGTTCTATTCCCCATTCCCAGGTTTTAAAGAAAGAAAGAAAAAATAGTTTGAGAAAGGATTTTGTCTCTCATACAACCAAAATGTTCTGATCTGGAGCAGGACTTTGTGCCTATACTAGCAGGTAGTGTTGGCAATGGGGAAACAGGACTGTGCTCTTACACTCATGTTCTTTGTGGTTTTGACGTTTGCGGATCCGATTATTTATGAACAATGTACTAACCTTTTATTCAGTCACAGTGTGTGAATAAAGGAGCTTTCTCTTTTGACATTTGGGGCAAAATATGTCATATTGTGCAAGCTTGTGGTTGGAGCTGAAGAGGGCTAGAAGCCCCATTATGCCTCAAAATGCTTATGGCCTGGAGTGTAATGTGCCTGTTTCAGAGCACATGCCAAGACCTTAAACAAACAGAGCTGGTTGGCTCAGTGTAGCTCCCATAGTGTGTATGCAAAAATAGCTCCTCAGCAAAGTTAGGAGAAGCCATGGAAAAAACGAGGCTCCCCATTCACCGCCAAACTCCTCCTGAGTCTACTTGTTAATACTTCTGATTCTACACAAAATCTCTTCCTGCCTGGAGTGTAATTAACATGCCAGAGCCAGCGGAAAATGATAAAAGGAAAACCGTTCCTCTGCCCTCAGAGCTCACCGCCCATCTCCTCGCCTACATATTAATCAGTGCTTTGCTTCATCCTCTGTTTGACTCATGGGAGTAGAGGATTACCATTCACATAGTGCCTCCCAGCCAAAGATGCATCTTGGGGAAATGTGTGCCTGCTAGAATCGTTTTAGGTTGCAAGACTGTAAAACCTATCTGGTGGAAAGTATACTTGATTTCAGCAGGGTTTACTTCTGAGTAGACATGGGCAGAATTATACTGAATCCTGTTGGCACTCCCAACTAAAAGGTAAAGGTTTTCCCCTGAGAGTGTCCGACTCTGGAGGTCCGACTCATCTCCATTTCTAATCTGAAGAGGCATTGTTGTCCGTAGACATCTCCAAGGTCATGTGATTGGCATGACTGCATGAAGCGCCATTACCTTCCCACCAGAGCTGTACCTATTGATCTACTCATATTTGCATGTTTTTTGAACTACTAGGTTGGCAGAAGCTAGGGCTAACAGCAGGAGCTCGGCCCGTTCTCATGATTTGAACTAGCAACCTTTCGGTCAACAAGTTCAACAGCTCAATGGTTTAACCACTGCGCCACCGGGAGCTCCAGCACTCCTAACTAGAGTAGGCCTATTTAATCATTGGGATTTACATAGGTGTTGATACATTTAATTCTTCATTCTATGTGTCTGTTCCAATGCAGACTGCCACTAGAATTGAGGACAGTGGCTAGAATTCGTACTCATCATTGCAAATCCATAATAAGGATTGCAAAACTGTTAACAATCCTGATTCACCAGGTAGCTGCTACAGGTTGTAGTAGCAAATTAATGTTCCCACCCAATCTTCCCTGTGAATGATCATCAGCGCAAAAGAGGAGTTATGGTAAACTGCTTCTGATTGTCACACTGAACATCGCTAGAGGAATGAAGGAGAAGATCAGCCTTCTACATCTTGATCAACAGGAGAACAGACCTCTGTTGCTTGCAGCGGCTGATACCTACTAAATCAAGATTATGGACTGCAAGTGGACACTATTTTGCTACGAAATTAAATCAGGTACATAACTAAGTAGTACAAGTAGAATTCCAATCATTTGTTTTCATAATAAAAGGCATGTTCACCCAACTCCCCTGGATTTCTCCATTCTCTGGAAAGTAAACCGACCTCATCATTCCTTCCATGCAAGCCGCTGTACAGTTTCCAAATGAAGGATTTGTTATTTTACATGACATCAGCTCGAGGCATTCCGACAAAGAGTGTGTCGTGGTGGGCAGTAGGCCTGGGGAGAAAAATCAGCCTTGAAAAGCAGCATAGAGAAGACACCATTTTTTTAAAAAAAAAGTTTTCTTAGGTTAGCCATACCAACAGAGCCTTTTGTAGGGCCACCCACACAGACATTCTTGTCTGTAATTTTTCAAAACCACTAAGATTA